TGCCTTTTAACGCTAGTGGGGACGTTCCTGAGTTGGCAGGCTAATTTGTGTCACCTATGAACAGGATCAGAGATTTTATGGAGATGTTTTTCTGGAAATCTATTTCTCTGTCCATACACACACGGACACAGACACACACACACACAACACACACACACACACACACACACACATATATATATATATGCTGCGTGCAATAGCAAAATTGTCTAATAGTTAAACTAAGTTTGGACCGTTGTATTTTTAAATGATTAAAGTTATCTTACTGGAATTCTCCGAGGTTTTCATAACACTATTGGACTCTACTTTGAGCAATAAGAACGTATAATTACTCTCCAAGCTTAACAGAAAAATCGTGATGAAATCGATCATAAATGAAAATGACATGTTTATCATTATTTAATCATAGCTTAGTATCGGGTGCTACTGAATTATATATATATATATATATATATATATATATATATATATATATATATATATATATATATGCATTGCTTCATTATCATTTTCTAATTTATTTAAGATGATCACCCTCTCTAGCCTTCTAACATTCTGTCCTTGAGTAACAAGGTGCCTCACAAGTTTCACGAAGTACGAATTTATTTTCAAGTCTTTTTTTCACTGCTCTTTGGACTGTCGTAGCTGAAACTCTTCTCTCACGTGACAAAAGTTTTAGGAATTGAGTTGGATCTTTTCTACTTGATCTCTTTATCTCTAAGTTGAAACGATGATCCTTCTTCTTGTTGTAACCTCCTGATCCAGTTTTCTTTTCTACTGTTCCCTCTTTTTAAACTCATTCACCCTTCTCTTGATGGTTCTTGAATGGAATTTGAAGATGGAAGTCAGAGTATGAATGTTGCTACCATTACTGAGGTCCTGAATGATCTTTTCCTCTCACCATTACTCAGTCGGGAAGACTGTAGATCTGACACAAAACAATTTTAACCTTTCTAGCTGAATAACTCAAAGGGTTTTCTAGTGATTCTTACGACAATGACACAAAAGCGATTTTACCCTATTCCATTTCTAGCTGAATAACTGAAAGGATCTTTTAATGATTCTTACGAAAAATGGTGTCAAGATAACTAAGCGTATTATCTGAAAACCTCAATTAGTTTAGCGGGTTATTTTTTAGATATTAAACCTTTTGTAGGCTGGACAATTATGCTGTTACACCCCCGATATACTGAGTCTTGTGTAAGAGTCGAGACTTCCATAAGGTCTATCGGTCCTTTTCAGAAAATAAGCCACCACCCTTCATGATTATCAACGCTGAGGGGTCGATTTCAAGTGTTGACATGTCTGTCATACGTTTCCTTTAAAAGTTATGTAGAGTAAACATGGTTTTGTCCATTTACCATGGCTATTTCTTCGAAGAGAATGCATGAGTTTCGTTAGAAATTTAAACTCAGTCTGCTGATTACATTTCAATGTCGTTAACTGTTAAAACGCACACACACACACACACACATATATATATATATATATATATATATATATACAGTTAGCGTAGGCGGAGTTAAAAAAGCTGGTAACACCAACTTTTTTATATATATATATATATATATATATCTATCTATCTATCTATATATATATATATATATATATATATATATATATATATATATATATATATATATAAACAAAAGAATAAATCATGTATCCCAGTTATAAAACGCACGTCCCATAAACTAAGGCAAGCCACAAAAAAATTAAATAATGTCTCTAATATATGTATGTCTGTGTATACTTGTGTGTGTATATATATATATATATATATATATATATATGTTCTCTCTCTCTCTCTCTATATATATATATATATATATATATATATATATATACATGGATATATATATATTATCAACTTAAACATTTATTTATAATGGATACTCATATTTTTGTAGACGTTCCGTTTATTAATTAAACAGTATATTTATTTTTTTTGGTATCGGCCTAAAGTTCGAGAAATCTTATTGAAGAATAAAATGCGCGTTCCGACAAAAAATAACTAAAAGAGAAAAAAAAATTACTAAGATGTAAAAATTTAGAAAGTGCAATTAATTGGATGAGCCTCCACAGAAAACAGATAAAAATTATATTTAGAAATTAAAAAACTTATGGATATATGTATAAAAGCAACGTGGAGGAAAATATCCATAAGTTTTTTAGAAATTTAAAAACTTATGGATATTTTCCTCCCGTTGCTTTTATATATATATATATATATATATATATATATATATATATATATATATATATATATATATATATATTATAATATATATATATATATAAGACATATATATATTGAAAAACAAAATAAGCTATTTTTGCTATTTTTGTAGTGATTTTATAACTTTTAAATAAATAAATAATATATATATATATATATATATATATATATATATATATATATATATATATATATATATATATATATATATATATATGAGAGAGCAACGTGGAGGAAAATATCCATAAGTTTTTAAATTTAAAAACAGTATGAAAAAAATTTTTGTTTGCTGTTTAAGAAAAGATAAACTATGGAGGATGCCAACTGATATAATTAATTACCTTATAAAGTGAGTAAATATTGTTGCTGTTGGGGATTTTTTTTATTAATTTTTAATTATTTTTAATATAATTATTATATATTTCGATGTATATTGTTTGCTTTTGTGTTTTAATATATACGTATTAATTTATTTAATCTAAATATTTAATTCTTGTGTTAACCTTTAATTTTATTATTTTTTTAATTTTTAATGTAATATATGCTTGATAAATGAATATTTCCTAAGAAAGGAGATATTTGAAAAAACCCAGGCTCTATGTTAACGTATTGGCAAGAAACGATAATTGGACTCTCAAGAACATTTGGTCTAAAAGATAAGTTTACTCACTTAGACAGAAAGAAAAGTTTTGCAAAGTTTGATTATGGATTAATAATAGAAATAAATAGGTTTGCCTATCGCCTGGTCCACACTCCTCTCCTGTCTTTTGTACAGAAATAAGGTTTAATCTATTGTTTCCTGTTTAGGGTTGGGTATCCGGGTCGTTGTAAAGTATTTGCCTTCTCTTTTACTTCCAGTAGCATTTGCTTCTTAGTGGCATTATTGCCTTGCTTGGGGTGAATTTATTTAAAAATAGGGACAAACATCGTTAGAAGGTAGTCAGAACGGCGCGTTCATCAGCCTTTGATGACGAGGCCCTTACGTCATCGGTCAAAAGCAGTGAATGGCAAAGTACTCAGGAATTAGCAAAGGTGTCAAACACATCACAATCTATCGTATGTCGACACTTAGAAAAGATAGGGAAAATTAGCCAGCTGAGAGAATTGTTTCCAACGCTCTTAGAAAAGAACAGAAAAAAATTGGAATTGTTTATGACTTAACTTTAATAGTAAGGAAAAAACGTTCACCTGAATTCTTGTCATATCGTAAAAGTGCTGCGACTATAATTAATTCACGCAATGACTTTTTAAAAACAATGGCAGTAGAATCTTAAACAAAGCCTAAATGAAATGCTGACCCCGGGGACCAACATGTTTTCTGGGCATGAATCATTACTCGTCACCTACGGCGCCCCAGCAATACATCAGAATGCCATTCGATTTTCTTTAAGTCACAGAGGTCGTAATGCCATATCCACACCTCTTGGAACCTTTGTCTCATCTTGGAACCTTTGTCTCATCTTGGAACCTCTTAATGGATTTCCCCTTTTTAGTTGGTGACATTTTTAATTCAAGCCTAGGTTGTGATAGCCATACAACCTCTGCATTATTCTTTGGTAGAAATATTCAACGTCTCGTCATATCATACACAGTTATCTAGCAGATCTTTGTGCATTTCCAGTTTTTTAATATCGCGTTTCTTCAGGACGTAGGCGATCATGGTTCCCTATAAATTGTTTTTTTTTTTTTTTTTTGGTTATCAGTAAATAGCGATGCATTCTTAAACAATTAAAGGGGGTGTTTATCTGTTGCCTTCTTCACGGATTGAACTCTAACCTGCTATTAAAGTAATTACTGGAGGGTGAAAATACATATTCATGTCTTTCTTAACGACATTTGAGTGAAAGTGAACGCAACAGACGTGCTCCGAATTTGAACGTGGCTCGCCAATTCCGTTTTCTCTGTTATAATGTCCCCAAGTCACTCAAAAAGGAACCGTTACTTCCAAGAATATTCTTTCATTAATATTTATAACTTCGATAAAAGGGAATTAAGTTAAAAGAAGCCGCATACAGGTTTGAGTTTGATGGGTAATTTAGAATTTCATATGGTATCAAACTAAAAAAAAAAAAATTACTTTTGGTATTACCTTAATCTTTTTGTTTCCATTATGTTTTTCCATATTTTAGATTAGTTCCCAACAATTCTTGTAACTATTTATAAAGAAAATCCTGCAAACTTCCAGTAAAAAATGTATCTTGATTTTTAAAATCAACAAACTTTTCGGCCTAATCAATATAATAAATTCGCATTCAGATTTTAACACCATGAAAAAAATCAGTGTTCAAAAAAAGTAATTAGGTCATTTCGTGCCAGAGCGGGAAAAAACCTATTTGAAAATAATTCACAGTGGCACTGTGCGCTCATGACTGTTTCACGTATCAATGTCGACGACCAAACGTATATTGAAGAGAAGAAACGGTTATCATTCAAACAGATGTCTACACGTTACTATTTAAACGATACCTTATCACTTAGTTTCATGAATTTTTCGAATGT